GCCTTATGAAACTTCCCATCTGCCATTCATTATGATTCAACAGCAAAGAAAACCGCACCTTCTCCACGGTTGGGGCTGGGGGAGGGGCAGCAGTCGCTGCTGTGGGGCCTCAGGACTCACCCTCTCTGAGCCTTGACAAAACCACCTGCGAAGGGTCCAGAGGCCCCTGAACTGTGCGTATCTCCAGGGGAGTGGTGTTCCAGAACTTTCTAGCACTTTCAAGAACCTCTCAAAGGGATTCTGCACCCAGAAACAGCCAAGATCTGCTGGATCGGAGACAAATTGTGATCCCCCTTTGCTGTGAGTCAGGAAGCAGCCCTATGTCACCCTGTGTCCTCGTCCTCCTTCGAGGGTCCTGCCGGCCGAGGGAGTCAGGGCAGGGCCCTGCCCAGAGGCTGCCCCCACCAGACCGCCTGTGCCCGGGCTGCGGATCGTCGGCTCCTTCTGGTGTCCGACGCCGCCTGGTCCGTGTGACCTTCCCTGACTCCCTGTGTAAAGCAGCTCAAGCCCCTAACAACTCCCAGCCCCGCCTCCACTTTATTTTCTGCTCAGAATGTATTGCCATCCAACAGGCTTGAATATTTGTTCGAAATGTCTTTCCTGCCCTGGCCGGGTGGCTCAGTCGGTTGGACACCTAAAGGTTGCAGGTTCGATTCCCAGTTGGGGCACATACTTAGGTTGCAGGTTCGATCCCCGGTCCAGTCGGGGCTTGTGGTCCAGTCGGGGCTTGTGCGGGAGGCAACCAACGGATGTTTCTCTCTCTCTCTCTCTCTCTCTCTCTCTCTCTTTCTCTCTCTCTCTCTAAAAAAAAGAAAAAAGAGTCTTTCCTTACTTGTCTCTAACTAGCATGTTAGGCAGAGGGGTCCCGGATTTGGGCATTTTGTTTTCGGCAGCACCTACTAGTAGAATGCCTGGCACACAGTAGGTGCTCACTCAGTGTTTGCCAGAACGATGAATGGCTCTCCGCAAAGCTGCCTGGTTCGTGGGTAGCCCTTGAGGCCCATGGGTGAGAGCCTGCTTTGCGGGCCCTGTCTGGCCCCATCATGATCTGTGCCTCAGTGTACGCATCTGTCCCGCGTAGCTCTGGGGTGAGGTGCACGTGAGACAAGCCCGCACAGGCCAGCATTTCCAACAGTAGGTGCCGCCCTGCCTTCGCGGTCGGGCTTCGGAGGGTGGCTCCTAATTGGCTCAGAGCGGGCGTGCAGGCTGGGCCTGGGGGGAGGCGAGGGCGGGGTCAGGGGCCCAGAAAGGATGGGGTCCACCCCTTCTCCAGAATGAGGAAGGAGGGCCCAGACAACTGCTGGGACCCAGACTGCGTGGAGCCCTTCCCCAGCCGCCCCGCCCCGCCCTCCCCAGGGGCACCCACCTCTCCTGGCTGCCACAGTCAACCTGTTAGGCCGGGCTGGGCAGGTCTGGAGATGGGCGGGGAGCCCTGAGCCTCCGCACCCCCTCTCCTGCTCCTCCTCCTCCCCCACTGCCCTGTGCCCGGCACTCAGGCCTCTCCGAGCTGGGCTGCCTGGGTGCCTGAGGCCAGGAAGCCGGGGGTCCCCAGGGGGGTGACCCCCAAGAAGAGGGCAGCCGCTTCACGCTTGGCTGCCGGGAGCCCTTCCTGGAGCCGTCAGGGTGGGGGTCCCCTCCCCCAGGGGGCCGGGGCCATGTTGCCTTGTGCCTTCTGAGGCCCCCGCATCATGGCCCGGTCGCTGACCTGGCACTGCTGCCCCTGGTGCCTGACGGAGGAGGAGAAGACAGCCGCCCGGATCGACCAGGAGATCAACAAGATCCTCCTGGAGCAGAAGAAGCGGGACCGAGGGGAGCTGAAGCTGCTGCTTCTGGGTGAGTCCAGGGCCTGGCGAGCGGGCAGAGGGAAGAGGGCTGGAGGAAAGGGTCCTGGCCTTCGGGGTGGGAGAACCTGGGAACCCATTCGCCAGATGGGAAGACTGAGGCACAGAGAACCCCGGTTCCTTGTCCAAACACGGGTCCAGCCATCTTGCGGAGCATCTGCAAGAACGGAGGTGGCCATCCCGTGGGGCCGGCCCCAGCCTGGCAGGCCCAGCACGCCCTACCGGCTCTGTGTCATGGGAAGGGAGCCATGAGCTCAGGTCTGCCGCCCGCCCGGGCCAGTGCGCCCTGGCCTCTCCCTCTGTCGCCGTTCCCCACGGCCCCCCAGTTCCTCTCTCGCTGCCACACCACCAGCTGGGAGGGCTGGACCCCAGTTCTGCAGGTTGGCTAGCATGAGTTTTGTGGGCGGAGCGTTGCCACCTCGTTGTGATTGATCGATTGGTTCATTCAAACGATCAAGATCTATTAAGTAACTCCTGGAGACACAGCAGCAAAAGATATGGGAGTTGTCCCTGCCTCCATGGACCTCATCTTCTCATGAGGGAGATAGACATTAAGCCCATAAACTAATAAGCAGATAAAATAGTTCCCAGCAGCTAGAAGATTGAGGAGGAAAATTAAACCAGATGAGGGAGTAGGGGTGACTGGAAAGGCAGTAGATTGTGACCTCTGAAGCCTCAAGTCTTGTGGTGTCCACGTGTCCCCTCCCCTAACCACTTTGCCCTGTGTACGGCCCCAAGGATGCGGGCCTCGGAGGGTCTCCCAGGACACCCTGAACTCTGGGTGGGGGCTGGGGAAGGTCCTGAAGTCACATCTGCCTGGGAGGCTGCAGTCCCTTCTCTCTTCCCTTGCTCAGTGGGAAGCCCTGAGGACCGGAGAGAGGAGAGAGAGTGGGTGGGAGCACTGGACCCCTAGGAATTACACCTTAACTGAGGGACCTTCCAACTTCTAACATTGCTCTCTCTTGCTGAACTAGTTACCCCACCCCCCACCCCATTCATTTCTCCAAGAAGATCTGACATGGCATAGAACTCAAACTCCGGCCCCCTGACCTCTCCAACCCCAGCTCTGTTTACTGGCCATCATGTTCCAGCTGCAGACATCTGGCTTCTTTGCTCTTCATTGAATATTTCTTTTTTTAAAAAAATATATTTTATTGATTTTTTACAGAGAGGA